CACTCGCCGCCCGCGCCGCGCGCTTTGCAAACGCTGGCTCTGCCCGAGGCGGCATCGCTGGGTTCCCAGAAACAAGCACCCACTCCCTCCGAGTCAGTCCCTGATCCCCGCCCCCCGGACCGACCGAGTTCCGAAACCTTGACGCGCTCGCCCCGGGCTCAGGGAGGGAAACCGCGGCAGAGCTCAGCTGCAGCTGGGTGACGGATGGTGCGGGTTCGCGGCTGCGGCGGGAGGAAAGGAACACGCACAAACCCTTTCTTTCTGCGGTTTCTCCCTCCAGGAGATCCTACCAGGGCTGCGCTGAACAGTGGGTGTAGGAGGGGCTCAGATGGTGCGGACGAGATAAGGGAATTTAGAAGGGTAGGCATGCGCGTGGGACGAGGTGGCCGAGTGGTTAAGGCGATGGACTGCTAATCCATTGTGCTTTGCACGCGTGGGTTCGAATCCCATCCTCGTCGGTCGCGTTTTACACAGGAGATGGCTCTTTATTTTCTATATCCCGCGGGTCTGGAGCACCACGCTGGGGACAATGTGATCCAGCCAGAGCCCCAGTTCACCACACCTCTCCTCCCGCTTCAGGCTCTTCCCATACCCTGTATCGGACCCTCTGGGCGGCGTTAGAGGAGTACTTTTCTTTCTCCTTAGGCAGCGGTTCTCAACCTGTGGATCGAGAACCCTTTGGGGGTCGAATGACCCTTTCACAGGGGTCGCCTAAGACCATCGGAAAACACATATTGAATATATAATTACATATTGTTTTTGTGATTAATCACTATGCTTTAATTATGTTCAATGTGTAACAATGAAAATACATCCTGCATATCAGATATTTACATTACAATTCATAACAGTAGCAAAATTACAGTTATGAAGTAGCCACGAAAATAATTTTATGGTTGGGGGTCACCACCACATGAGGAACTGTATGAAAGGGTTGCAGCATTAGGAAGGTTGAGAACCACTGCCTTAGAGGGCTCGGGGCTCAGTGGCACCTTGAAGACCAGATCCAAAATTCTGGCCAATGCCAAATTAGGGGCCTGTTTATTAATCAGAGAAGCACCTCCTAGAATCACCCTTTCCCTGACTACAGTAGTGGAATTCAAGCGGGGGGGTGGTGGTGGTGGTGGTGGTGAGGGTGGTATTTGATCCTTAATTACTACTCTATTCAGCCCAGTGATTTTCCTCCCCACACAACCCTCCCATGAGGGAGACCTTGTATCCGCACACCTTCCTGAACACACACACACACACACACATGCAGAAGGTCTTGAGTATTCTAACACCAGCCTTATACAAAGGTGCTTAGTGAGTGTTTGTGAATAATTGAACCGTGGGTTCTTTAGAAGAGGAGAGTCTGGGGGGAAGGGCAGGTACTTGGACTGATACATCAATTATAGGTAATAACTATTTGGCGCTGTGAATCTTGGGAAGGTGCTCTGGGACAGGGCAAGGCGTTTCTCCACTGCTCCACAGGCAGTGGGAGTCAAGGTTGTTGAGCTGAAAAGTGGCCAGGAGCCCTGTATTCCACAGCCCCCAGCAATAACACCTCCGGAGCTGCTCAGCCCGGGAACTGTGTTCGGCACCGGGAAGGAGGCCTCGCAGGGGACAGGCATGTCCCTGAAGGTGTTCGTTGGTGACCTGCGCCAGAGGAGAAAATGGTGCGAAGACCTCAGAAACTGGAGGCACAGAAGCCAGATCTGATGCCATTTGGGCTTTCTTCGACCTGCTCAGTGTTAAAAACAACAACAACAACACAATTTAAATTACATTAGTTGTTAACTTTGGTGAATCAGGAGATTGGACATAAAACCCACATTTCCAGCTTCTGTTTTGAATTCTGGAAGATCTGGCAATACCAGGCTTCGTTCCTACAGGGTGACAACTGGCCAGAGTGTAAGAGTGACTCCCCCTTTGCAAACAGTCTTTTCTTTGCCAAAGTCTCAACCCTGCACCTTCCTGCTCACTCGGCCCTTTGAGCATTTGTGTTTCATCTACGGTACTCATCCAACACCTATTTTCTGCCTCAATTGTCGGGGCATCTGCCCACAATACCTGCCCTCACCCACGGCAATGCTAGCCCACAGCGGGCACCAATTCTCGTTTTCTGAACCAGTAAATCAGAGGCTTCTGAAGTGTCCCCAGGGGCTCTAGTCTAAGGGGGACTGAAAAGTAGTGACTGGGCTTGGCCATTATCAAGGAAAGCCACGTGGAAGGGGCCGGAGGAAGGCCGAAAGCCCCTATTGTGGGGCCTGGCCAGGGTCAGGGGCTGGCTGTGATGGAGTGGGGCGTGAGACATTCGAAGAGCAGTTAAAAACCATTACCAAGAGGTCTGCTTCCCACAGACGTTGCCCTCTGCAGCTCTCCCATCTGGCTGTCCTGACTTCTAGCTTTTATAATAAATCTGTAATCCAGCAAGAACATGTTTCTCTGAGTGCTGTGAGCTGCTCTAGCAAATTAATTGAACCCCAGGGCAGGGGTGCTGGAGTCTGATTTATAGCCAGTTGGTCAGAAGTACAGGTTACAACCTGGACTTGCCATTGGCATCTGCAGTGGGGCAGTCTCACGGGACTGAGTCCTTAACTTGTGGGATCTGATGCTCTCCCCAGCGGATGGAGTTACATGGTAGGGCACTCAGCGTGTGTCAGAGCATGGCCTGGTGAGAGAGGAAAACCCACTCATCAGCCCTGGCTGGTTTGGTTCAGTGGATAGAGTGTCAGCCTGTGGACTGAAGGGTCCCAGGTTCGATTCCAGTCAAGGAAACATGCCTGGGGTTGCAGGCTTGATCCCCAGTAGGGGGCATGCAGGAGGCTGGCCAATCGATGATTCTCTCTTATCATTGATGTTTCTATTTCTCTCTCTCCCTTCCTCTCTAAAATCAATAAAAAAGTATTTTAAAAAATAAAGGATATATAACACAGTGTACAAATAATAAAATATACAATATTCTTTAAAAAAAGAAAAAACAATGTGTAGAAATACTACTGTATTTGATCTTGAATCCTGAAACTTTACTAAATTCACTTATTACCTCTAATAGTTGTGTGTGTGTGTGTGTGTGTGTGTGTGTGTGTGTGTGTATTCTTTAGGATTTTCTGTATATGTATATATTATATCATCTGTGAATCTGGGTAGTTTTACTTCTTCTTTCTTGCCAAATTGCTCAGGCTAGAACTTCCAGTACAAAGGTGAAGAGATGCAATGGTAAAAGAGGGGATCCTCTTCTTGTTCCTGACCTTGGGGGGAAGGCTTTCAGTCCTTCACATCGAGTATGACATTAGCGATGGATTTTCCATAAATGCCCTTTATCAGGCTGAGGAAGTTCCCATCTGTTCCTCGTTTGTTGGGTGTTTTCATCTTGAAGTGTTGGATTTTGTCAGATGCTTTTTCTGCATCAATTGAGATGATCATGTGGTTTCCCCCTTCATTCTATTCATGTGCCGTGTGGTGTTTACACCGATGTGTTTCTGTATGTTGAACCACCTTGCATTCTGAAAGGCCTGGCTTTGGTTTTAGAACTCTTAACAGGCACTTAACCTCTAAGTTAAGCAGCCTCTGTAGAGGCAAATGCCCTCTTCTCTCCCGTATCCCTCCTCTTCTCTCTACTCCCATTTAGTCCTCATTGCTAAGGTTCTTTATCATTTGTCCCCAACCCACTGCTCCAGCCTCAACCTCTCTTCTCCCTCCCTCACATCCTAGGGGCTTCCTCACCCCACCCCCTGCCAGAAGTCCCCACTGTTCTCTGAATATTCCATGTCCATGCCTTCCACACCCTCTGGTACCTCTGCCTGGGGTGCCCTTCCCCCACTCCAGCCCAGCACACTCATATTCATCCCTCAAGACCCAGCTGGGGGAATGCTCCCTTTGGGATGCCTGCCCTGACTTCCCAGAAGGCCCAGGGCCTTCACAAACCCCAGGACAAGTTGCATTGTCTCCTATGGCCTTGGGAACACAGACCACTCCTTCTTTGTTTCAGGGTCACCAGACCAGCCAGGGCCTGGCACCATGGATTGTGGTCAAAAGAATGAATCCTCACTGGGGATCTTCCTGTGGCTTGTATGTCAGCTGTCAAGGCCATATATTGCTTCACTTTCCTCTTTGATATCAAAACCGCCTCTGGCTTCTGAGCAGGGGGCCTGGCTCAGCTCCCGGTATAAAATAACTCTTCAGTGACTGTTCACAGAAGGGAGGGGGGCAAGTGGGCAGCAAAGTCAGTGCCTAAAATGGCAAAAAACCCACCGTGCTTTTCTCTGGGTTGGGCATGGTAGGACAGGGGTGTGTGAAGCAGGCCTCTCCTCCGTCCCTCAGAACCAGCTGGCTGCCTCTGTAAAGCTCCATTTCTGAGAAAGGGAAGCCTGCGATGCAGAGGAGCCTGGAAGAGTGATAGTCGTCCATGCAGCCCAGTGCTCTGCCCAGGAGTATAGGGCTCCTTGCAGGTCAATATCCCTTGGCCATTGCAGGAATGCTCACAAATCCTTGCCCCTCTCGGGCCTCAGTCATCCCAACTGCCAAATGGGTACAACCATCCCCACCCCACCCAGCTCATCAAAGCCAATAGAGCGGAAAGCACTTTGGAAAGAAAGACTCAGAGACCTCATTATACAAATGAAGAAGATTGTTATTGGACCCAGGAGCAGGATCAGAGAGAAACAGAAGAAAGGGGGAGTGCTCAGTGCTGTGCTTTGATCCCCTTGAGGGAGAGAAGCAGGAATTGGGCTGGAAGAACAGCACCTACAGGGAGGAGGGGGCCCCAGCTCTGCTGCGAATCGGACACTTACCCCGGGACTCAGTTCCCTCACCTGTACAAAGGGGGAGCACAATCCCTGCCCGGCTCCCTCCAAGGGCCTCAATGCGGCTGTGAGAGAGCAGGCGTGGAAGAGCTTTGCACACTGAAGCGCAGTGCACACATGCAGGCTAACTACAGACCTGGGGCCCCGCCCCGCTGGGCTCTGGGGGTGGAGACAGTAAGTGCTGGCAACAAAAACATTGTCTGAGGCCCAGACGGTCCTTTGAGCACCCTCAGATCCCTAATTTCTGTTCTCTCTCCCCGCTCCCCTCAACTTCCCTGGCATCCTCTGTCCTGGGGTCCGAGAGACCTGACCACGGGGTCGCTGAGTTCCTGGCGAGAAGAGTTCCTGGCCTGGGCCGGCCCACACTCCCACTCGGAACCTGAGGCTGGGGCCACACCAGCCGCACCCTCGGCAAGGCCCCGCGGTGGCCTCGGATCTCCCTCGATGGCCAGGGTTGTGTTCTGTGACCAATGATACATGCGCTCCTGATGCTGGGCAGGGCCAGGCCCTCGGCCCGACAGCCACCTGTTCAGGGAGGGCTTCTGTGCTTCTGGATAGTGTCCGTCTCTGAGCGTCGCCTCCGCCCTGGGGGAGGGTTGGCATGACCGGTGGTGAAGTCTTCCTCGCAGCACCCCGAGGAAGCCCGGGAAGGAAACGGCACCTGCCTCCTCCGGGCACCTCCAGACCAAGGGGCCCCAGCCCAGCAGAGCCTGAGCCGGCTCGCCACTCCTCTGCCCTGGGTCTCGGCTCCGAAGGGGCGGCGAGAAGAGAGCTGCTGGGAGAGCCCTCCACGGAGCCTTCAGAGCAGCGCCTTGAAGAGGAAGGAGAGGGAGGCTCCACAGGACAGCCCCAGGGCCAGGAAGAAGGTCATGAGGGCGCCGGCCACCTCCCTCTCGTGTGGCAGCACCTGCCTAGAACACACAGGGGCGGGAGCTCTTAGACAATGCCCTGCCCAGCCTGGACCCAGCCCCAGTGGCCCAGCCCTCCTTCGGGGACACCGAGTTCTGGTCTGTGCTGACCCAACCTCCAGTCACGGGAATGAGGCCCTTCTCTCCAGACTTGTTCCCCGATCGGTGAAACGGGGACCCTGGACAAGGACATCTCTAGGCCCCTGGGGTCCAGTATTCTAGGATTCTAGATTCTGCTGTCCCTGTTGATAAAACGTCCCCACACTGCCCGCCCCCATCACCTCTGGATTCTCAACTCCATTGTCCCGACACTAATAGCCTATGAACCCTGTTTTTGAGCAAAACTTTAGCTCCCCTTCAACTGAGAATTTGGGGAGTAGCTGGGCCCTAAGAAATAATAGTCCAACCCGTTTATCTCACAGATGGGGAAACTGAGGCCCAGAGAGGAGGCCCCAGAACCAGTGCCTGGGTGACTTTTCCAGGCAGGAACCTCCCCAGTGGAGTCACCGTCTACCTAGCTCCTGGGCCGACAGGGTGGCATCAGTGAGGCCTGGAGGCAGCTGGGGCAGGGCTGGCCAGAGCAGAATGAGCCCCCCCTTGCAGGCTGTCCCCCCTCAAAGAGTTAACCCACCTCCCACCCCCAGGCCCTCCCGGGCTGTCCCCAGACCTGGGCGCCAGGCACATGGTGAGGGACACCAGGTAACCATTGGAAACAGCGAAGACCATCATGAAGGTGATGAAGTAGGCGTCCTGGGGGAAGAGGGTGGGCAGCCGGGACCTCTGGGGCACGTGGCACAGCATGAAGAGCGGAATGAACAGGACACGCAGGCAGACCAGCAGGGGCAGCAGCCGGCTGTCCTGGTCCGGCTGCGGCAGAAGCTGGGGTCAGGGCAGTCCCTGCGAGCAGGGCCTCTGCTCCAGGGGCACCCCGACGGACTCCTGCCTCACTTCCCCTGAGCCGCCCGACATGAGCTGGTCAGGACCCAGCTCTCGGGCCTGTGGAGGACGAGGGGGTGGGCCAAGGCCACCCAGCGCGCAAGGACCGGCCTCTGCCTCTGCCCATCCCCAGCTTGTGGTCTCTCCATGGCAGGACCGGAAGAGGCCTTAGACAGCATCTTTGGTTTTCAAACTTGGTTCCTCCGAACATCCCTGGGGGTTCCACAGACCCCTTTGGGGCGGATGGGGTTGCTGAATGGGACTGGAAGCTGGGGATCCAAGCCCCATCCTGCTTGGATCAGAGCAGCTCCTCTTGGATCTACTGTATTTATTGTGTCTCCGTGAAAGATTTCATTTAATGACGCAGCACCTTGGCTCAAAGCTATGCAAACACTAGGACTGTTGTGGCCCCTCTCACGTGGCACAGAAACCTCCACGCACGTCTCCAAGCACAGAGGGCTGGCCCTGGGCTGGATGCTGAGGACACGGGTCCACTGGACAGAGTGTCCGCTTCCAAGGAGCTCCCAGTGCAAGCCTGGGCTTGCATACCTCTCGGAGCCGCTGCTCACTGCCACCTGGTGTCTGTCCATTCCAGGCCCAGACAGTTGGACTGTTGGGAAATGCCCGTTCTGTGCTCTTTCACACCCTCTGCTATCCAGCTGCTGCCTAGAACCTTCAGGCCCCCCGCCCAGGTGTGCTCACCCACATGAAGTACGAGGTCAGGCTCCGGCCCAGGCAGTCCATGATGTTGAAGAGCAGGAAGCAGCAGATGGGGTTGAAGAACTGACCTGGGAGAGAGAAAGGCTCATCCTGGTCCCCACTCCCCTCTTCCTGCTCTCCCCTTCGCTCCCCTGCCCAGCCCTCTTCCGCTTCCCAACACTCACTCCACTTCCCAGGACTGGTGGAGCTGGTCACCATGGCTGTGATGGCGGGGAAGACAGACAGGGTGACTGTGAAGACCAACACAAGGCACAGCGCCGTCAGCCAGATCTGGGAGCCGGAGGCAGGGGTGTGAGCAGGGGGGCAGGCCTGGGGCCTAACACTCAGCCCCCACCCTCCTGCCAAAGCCCTGGCCCGGGAGCAGGACACCTGGGGCCTGGCTCCGCTGTGTCCGCGACCCACTGACCCTGCCACCTTGGGGTGGACCAGGTGAATGCTAAGGCCCATTCCATTCTGAGTCTCTGGGGAGGGCCAGAGAGAGCGGCGTCTCTTCCCCAGGGGTGGTGGTCGGGGGTTATATCCAAGGCAAACCTTTCGGAAGACAATGAAAACGGAAGGTTTTCCTGGCTTCTGGGGTTCCTCTGGCTCCAGCTCTGGCTCCTTCTCAGGGTCAAGTTCCAGAGTCAGGGCTGCCTTCTGAGGGCTGTTGGGAATCCCGTTCTTCTCATCTGGGGCAAGAGGGACGGCAGGGTCATGCCTGTGAGCCTTACCTATGAGGGGAGATTCCCAGCAATTAAAACAAGTGACCCTCCTTCAGCCCAGGGTTCAGGCAAAGAGAAATAGGCTTGGCTACTATTTATTAAGCACATGCATGTGCTGGGTAGATTAAGCACCTTGAAGGGACTATCTCACTGCCATCGCTCTATAAGGAAGGACATGGAGGCTCAGGGGGGTTCAGTGACTTGCCTGAGGCCACACAGCTTGGATGTTGTGCAGCTGGAACTCAAACTCAGATGCGTTCGGATCCAGAACTTGCATGCCCGAAGTGCTACTGCCTCCCCCTCACGGAGGAGGACTCTGAGGCCCAAAGGGCAAAGGGAGGACTTCGTTCATGATTTTTTTTCTGCCTCTGCTCATACAAGGCTACTACTAGCGGGGAGGGCTCTAGTTGGAGACAGAAAGCACGTCTTTCCCCGGGGAGGTGCCTCTAGCTTCCTCTGGGCCTCCCCCTCCCCAGCAGGGCCCAGGGCTCACCAGACCGGAGGAGCTCAGCTTTGGTCTCCAGCTCCTGACCTTGTGCCAGCGATGGTTTCCTGGCCAGGTAGTAGCGGGCCAGCTCCTGCAGAAGGCAAGCGTTGGTCCTGCTGGGCTTGGCTGAGGTGTCTGGATCCCTCCACACCCTGTTGGCTTAGAGGCTGTGTGGGGTGCGGCTACAGTGTTTGGACAGGTTCAAGCCTTGGACTGAGGAGAGGGCACAGTCCTCTCATTGCCACGTGCAAGTCCCAGCTTGGAGGGGAGAGCCCTCCCAGCACAATCATAGCCAACAGCTGTAGTAAGCTTGAACCTATAGTCCAAACACATGGCCCCACGTGCCTGAGTAAGAGAGTTCAGGTGCATGTAGTTGAGTGGGACTGAAACCCACGAGAATGTTGTAAACATCTTGATCACGCCCTTACTGTGCCTCGCGGCATCTGCTATAAAATAAAGACACGGCTTGTGGGCGCGGGCGCTGTCTCTCCATCAGAGGAGCAGCGTCCCACTGAGACCCAGCTTTCATTCTCTTGTCTGTCTTTTCTTAATCCTTCACCGCCCCCTCTCAGGGTCACTGAGCCAGGCTGAGCTGGCATGGCACATAAGGCGCCCTGGGGCTGAGTATGCCATGGCTGTGCCGGCTCGCCACAGGCTGGGGTCCCCTAGTGGCTGACTCCTTTGGGGATCAGGACTGGGGCTAGGTCCCCTCCACCTCCCTTGGGACGTCAGGCTCAGATCAGGGCTGTATCTGAGATGCTCTGAAGGGCAGCCTCGACTTCAGTGCCAGGCTCACCATGTAGGGCAGGCTCAGGTAACACACGATGGACACGAAGATGCCCACGCAGGGTGTGATGAAGTACCCCAGGGCCGAGGTCTGGGCATCCACGCCACCTGTGAGGAAAGTCCAGCTGCAGCGGGGAGGTGGCTGGTCCCACTTGCTCCCACAGGGATAACAACTCAGGTCCCACTTCCTATTATGACCGTCTCAGATTCACCCCCCGGCCTCTTCCACTCCTCTCACAAACAACGCGGGAATCCGGTCAGAGCCCCAGCCCCAGCCCAGCCCTTCACCTCTCCCACTCGCACTGTACTATTTGTTTGTTTTTTTGAGCACCTACTATGTGCTCATTGTTACTGCATGCTCCTTACAATCTGATGATGGAACCATAATAACCATGTTGGTGAGGAAACTGACACAGGTTAGGTGCTTTGTCCAATGCCCTGCCACTAGGGGGCAGAGGAACTGTGATTTGAACACAAATCTATCTGAATCCCAAACCTGTTCCTCCTTGCCTCAACCTCACCTGCAGCGACATGTCACTGTTGGCCTCAGGAATCCTGCCCTTGGATCCAAGTTAACCCAATCCTCACCCAGTCACTCTCTCACTGTAGAAACCAAACCCAACCCCCAGCTCCTCACAACCTCTGTCTCCACCCAGATCCCAGAGCATCTCACTCCTGGCACACTCTCCCAACCCCCCAGAATCCCAGAGGCCACCCTCCCCCCCACCCCCAGTCACCCAAGTCTACTCACTGGCCATGGACATGAGCATGGCAAGAGCAGCAAAGATCCCAGCCAGGCCCTGGCCGCTGAGGAAGAGGGTGCTGTAGGTGGAGGGCATGGTGCCCAGCTGTCCAAAGAGGCTGCCCTGCAGAACTGCACAGAAGGCTGTGGAGGGACAAGAATGGGGACTGCCGCTCAACTAGGTAGGCTTCAGGGGCTCCCTGGAGGGGATGTCAGCAGGACACACTGTGGACTCTGGATGAGGTTGGTAGGCAAACTCTGGGGTAACAACCCCCATTCACTCCTCTTCGGAGGAGCATCCATACACTTGCAGGTCTAGGGGTCAGGAGGCCAGCTCTTCGAGCAACGGGGGCCTGTCACAGTGACTTTTCCTTTCCATCTGGGCCTCAGTTTCTCATCAGGGATCTGGGTGCTGCTGCTGCTGCCTTCCCTTTTTGGGTACATTGGGCCCTTTTAGTTACAAAAAGGAGGCTGGGCTGAAGTCCTGGGGGTGCTGGGCAGGGAGGTGGGCAGGGGCAGTGGTCCTCACAGTTGATGAACCAGACAGAGGCCATGGTGATGGAGAAGAAGGGTCCGGGCGTCATGTCCACCTTGACCAACGCGGCCGTCAGGGCGAAGAGCAGCAGGATGACCAGCAGGCTGCCCAGAATCCGCACCGTCTCAGGGATGCTGCTCATAAGGGGGGCAGAGTGGGCATCAGCTGGACCCAGGTCAGGCCGAGCGAGGTGGCAGGAGGTTCAGCCCAGGGCTGGGCAGGGGGTGGGGGAAGATGCGGGGAGTGTGGAGGAAGGAAGGGAGGTCTTCCCTGGGCCCAGATGGAGCTGCCTCAGCAGGGGTGGGGCAGGGACAACAGAGGATGGCCTGGGAGGGAGTCCGGAGGCCGGCCGCTCACCACTGGTACAGGAAGGAGTTGAGGAGTGTGAAGAGCAGCAGGGGCAGCTGGGACAGCAGCGTCACCCAGTTGTTGAAGTTGAAGGTGTCTGCAGGGCCAGTGTGGTTGGTGCTCAAGGTCACAATCGTGCTGTTGGCCCCCGCCAGCCGCCCCTGGAAGTACTGCCAGGGGTCCGGGAGAGGGGGGACAGGGTCACCCTACAGCACACCCTCAGGAACCGCCCCGCCTCCCCACTGCCGGCCCCGCCTTGGGATGGTTCGGTTAATTTCTGTGGGGACTGTCTGTCTGTCCTTGTACTGTTCCCAGAACCTGGCACAGTTGGAGCTCAGTGAATGTGCACTGAATCGAACGGCTGAGATCTGGAACAGAGCCGAGCCCTAAGAACCCCCAACGGGGCCTTGCTTCATCTCCAGATCACCCCTCTCCACCGGTGTCCTGGCTCCAGCCCCCACCGCCGCTCCAGCAGCAGCTTCTAGGTTCCTGAGTACTCACTGAGGCTACAGTAAGCCAGGCTCTGGCTTACGTGCTGACCAACCACATTCTCTCTGGAACGCACACCCTGCTTAACCCCCGCTCCCAGTGCCCATGGCTCCCTACGGCCTGCAGGGCAAAGCCTCAAGGTTTGGAAACAGCATTTGGGGCCTTCAGAACCGGAGCCTAGCCTCCCCTTCGTGCCCCATCTCTTGCTCTGTTCCCTCCCCTGGAGACCCAAGCCTGGGAGGCCACGGGTCACGTTTCGTTACATTATTAATAGCTCCCTGGCACCCGCCTTGCTTTCTAGACCAGAGGCTAATTCAGTTTGGGGTCTGCAGGGCCCAGCACAGAGCCGGGCACCGAGGAGCGTCTAGAAAGCTGTACTGAATATATATGAACAACCCAGTCCCAGAGAGAACAGCGCTACGTTCCTGCCTTCCCCGGCGAGAACTCAGCTCTGTGAGGATGCAGCCTTCCTGTTAAGTTTCCTCCAGTGCCCAGTGCCAAGACCAGGGCGTGGCCCACAGTAGGTGCACATTTACTCTCTGTTGGATGAATGGATGGAACTCGTACTGTGGGTGCCCAGTTTTGGAGTGACTAGCACCGGACCCCCTGGGCCGGTGGCCTTGCCCCTCTAGGATCGGGCAGCCCCGAAAGCTTGACCTTCCTAGCCACAGGGGCACCTCCTCTCTCAGGGGCTCCATGCTTCAGCGGGCACCCGGGCACAATGAGGAGTCAAAGGCGGCGTCGCAGGGACAGAGGGCGGTTGTGGCCGTGGGGCTGTCACTCCGCCGCGAGTCTCACCGGGATGGCCGTGATGAAGAAGTTCCAGGGAAGGAGCGTGCCCAGCCCAAGGATAAAGAAGCTGACCCCGACCAGGTGGTAGCTGTGGGGATCCGTCAGAAGGTCACCCCGAGGGCGCAGCTCCTGGGTCGCCCCTCCCGTCCCCCACTCCTCCCCCATCCTCGCTGCAGAGCGGACTACAGCCCCCATCACCCTGGCGCAGGCCGCGGAGGAGGCGGCTAATGGGAATTGTAGTTCCATTCGCTCGGCTTTGCGCCTTAGCGCGCCCAAGGAAGCGGGTCTGCGCTGCCCACGGCCACCGGATTTCCGTGCTCACCCCCCTGGTCCCCAACTTGCCTGTCCTGCGGGATGTCTCCTCGCGCCATGGCTGCCCCGCGCGATGCGCCCGGGGGGAGAGAGGTGGGGTGCCGCACCTG